TTAATAATAAACAGGAAAATACTCGGCTAGGTATTGCATATCACGGTCTGCGTAGGTGTTACGCGTGCCTCTGTGCGTGCTTTTTGATAGATTTCAACATCAATACGAGATACAACCGAACGGTAATGCTCTTAATTAAATAAAACGCTGCCCGGCGCAGCGTGAAGATTTGCATTTATATTTTTATCTCGTTCGCTCGAGATAGAATTAGCTTGGTTCATTTTCAGGTACACGCCGGATAGATTAATTTCCAAGCATTTGCTCGTTAACCCGTGTAAAAAATTTACATTTTAAACATTTTCATTGCTTGTTTTACCTAATAATATTTGTTACTTCTCGCATATAAGTATTTTATCTTACGAACGCGAAAGAACAAGGTGCGAAGAAGAAAGCAGAAAAGAGGTTATAAAGAGTCGTGTTCACAAATCGATACGGAAACGACAAAAGGGATGTGTATCGATGATGGACGAAACACGGTCGTGCACCTGCACCGCGAGTTGACCCAGTTTCTCTCGTTATAATTTGAACACGAAAGAAGGCGAACACTTTACTTTCAAACATCTTGCTCTGACTCGGGATTAATCGGTTTCTCCTGGCTGCGCCGGGATTGAATTAAAAACCTCAGACTGAAATATAATCAATATCTGCAATTTCATACTTCCAGAGAAACGTGATGATTGTGAGTGGACACGCGATTACATATGTACTTGGTATTTGGTATTTGACGTGTAACTTATTTGTCTTCTTGCGTCTTCGTCGAATGGAATTGAAATGCAAAAAAGTACAAATAAGGAAAAAGTGGAAACATTTCGTATGGGCAGTCATCCGTTTCTCAATTAACAGGAAAGAAAGTTAAGACAGCCTCAAGTACGTAACTACTTTATCACAGTGAATTGCAATGTGAGAAAAACTAGCGTTATAATTTTTTGTTTTGTTTCTCCTTTTTCTTTTTTTTTTTTTATGCTTGGCAAAACTGCAATTATTTTCATGCGGAAGTGATCATGGTTGGCATTATCCGCAATGAAACGTTGCACATCAGAGTAATGGCGGCACTTATTCTCAAATCGTCTGAATTATCATATCGTTCGAAAACTGCGTATGGAATGTGCCCGTCGAACAGAAAAGACGAGAACTATGTAGATCGGCGAGAAATATTTATGTCTGAAAATAATCTTACACCGTGGTCGAACGATGGCCGCTTTACCGCTGTATTTACGCCACTGTAAATCTTTTTACTGCCACCGGTTCCTTCTCCCTCTTTTTTTTTTTTCTTCTTCCCCTTCCTCCTTCTGCTCAACACTCTATACTGCCTTCATTCTGTCCTGCCTCGTGTTCGCAGAAGTAAATTCATTTTATCAGCTGGTATTGACTAACTATAGACAAAACATATAGTAGATATCTGCATATGCTTTGCATTTCATTCGACATTCTCACTCACCAATATTGAAATATATATTTCTTACAATCCCTGTTTGTTGAACGGCATCATTACACTTGCAAACATTTCCTAACCTGGGGAAAAAAAATCACAAGAGATATTTAGAATAGAAGTTGATGAAAATACAAAATTTTGTTTATAATTTTTCATACCGTTTATGTAGAATTTGTTTAAATACGAATGTTGTTTCTTTCCATATCTTTCGATATCGGCGGTAATTCAACAATATTTTTGGAAGCAAAAAATCAACGGGAAAAGAAAAACGTGAAGTCGGTAACTGAGAATATAAACAATGCTGCCATGATACATGTTTACTTTCGGATAATTTTTGGACGGTGGCCAGTATCGTTTCACGCTCAGCACGTCAATTTGGTACTGGCAAGCAGCCGAAATTTTCGTCAAACAGATGTCCGAATGACTGTTATTACGCGCTTGTTACAAACGAGAACGAAGAATACTTAATCTCGCGACGCTAGCGATGCCCGCCAAAAAAGAAACATTGTTGTTAAATGTAAAGCTCTTGATTGATTTGATTGATTTCAAATCAGGCTTATTGTATTAATGTTTCCTTGAAATGCATCTTAACACGTCACAACGTATAACTCATCTCATAAAAACTTGAAATCGCGTGTTTTGAATATTTTATGATTTATATAACCGGTACAGCTTTGATTGAAATGAATAACATCACATTCTACCAATGAATTGCTACTAGTAATATTAAAATACTTAACACTTTATATAATAACGAATGTATTTTTTAAATATTTAAGAACGTATCCCCAAATATCCACATGATTTTCATTTTACGTGCAATTTTATATCTCGAGTTAACTCGAACCTTTAATTCTAGTTTATATGAAAATATTATATTTGTTTGATTAAGCGCTTCTCTTTTGTTTCCTCAGCAGTGATCAATAATTAAAGCTGTGTAATTAGTTTTTCCTATTATTATTTTATTCCTAAAATAAAAAGTATATGTAAAGATAATAATATATTCTTTATAATTATAATCGTATTATGTATTAGATTATTATACTGGCGACAAAGTAATTAGATACTTTCCTAACTTTGTAAAATAAAACAATTACAGACCACTTAATTTACTTACGATAAAATGTTTTTATATTCATCTTTATTTGTCATCAAATATATGGATGAATTGAAATGACATAGCGATTGAGATAACGCGTAGAAGGTAATTCATTTGAAATCATCCACTCGTTCAAATTGCATGTGCATGAGCCTTGTGCATTATCGTCGCGACAGTGAGTATATGAGAACTCAGTGAGTAGTAGCTGAATTAGAGTCCGATCGTGTCAACACCGAACGAATAGACGTGGCAACGTTGTACGAACGAGTTTAGTAGCCGGCTAGCCAAAGCACGGAGTAGCCGACCGGTGGAACGTCCGCACGTCCGGGAACGACCTTCCTTTACTCATCCCGTGTCGAGGAACCTTGCCTCTGAGATTGACTAACACTTCTTTATCTTCTTTAAACTTACCTGGATACGAATTATATTTCTTTCGCGAATTTTTGCGTCCCAATTTCATTCTTACCTCACAAACAAAGAAATTTTTTTATTATTGCAGAAAAAAAGTTTGAACTTTAGAATAAAGTTTAAAACAGTAATTACGTATGTACATTAAGAGTATCAGAGATGTTTTCTTACCATATGGTTTGAATCGTATCGTTACAAAATAACATAATTGGAAGATGTAAATTATCTCACAATTGCCAGGAATTAAAACTGAAATCTGCTTTTTTTCACCTAATGATTAATATAGGGTTAGGTCGATAATATCGATAGTAATGTTAAAGCAGAAAACTGCAAGTTTCTGCGATTAAAACGAAAATTGAAATTTGAAAAATTTTTTTTAAAAAAATACGTTTTCTTATCGTTTATTACCTTAATAATTCAAATAAGTGCAAAAAATGCTTTCTTCCTAGAATCGTACATAATTGGCTTACCTGAATATGGTTTAGTCATCAAAGAGTGTAATATCGTATCAATATTATATTAATAACACAACCGAGATATCCTCATATATATTTCTTTTCTTTTTTTCCATGTGTATTCACAAGTTGGAGGTTTATTCAATTAATTCACCTAGCTGCAAGAAGTATAATATGTAATCTACCCGCGGTACATGTCCTAGGGGGTTTCACTTCACAGTTGGCACACGTGCGCAGGTGGAGTATGGCTTTTGCTAGGTGGTAGTTTTTTACACCGCGAGTTCTAGTGGTTTTTTCCCATCGTGTTTCTTTTGGTAGCCAACTGTGCTAGAAAGAGGGAGGGAGGGAGAAAGAGAGACAGAGAGAGAACGACAAAGAGGGCAGGAAAGATCGTGTGCGAATACGCGGTTATTGAAAAAGGAAAGTAACACTCTCGGAGCTGAGAAAGAGAAGTCAGGGTTCAGGCTTCGTTCCTTCCAGCTGGCCTGGCACGGCAAAGGAGGCCTTGTCGCGCGGCTGCTCGTTCGGTCAATGTCTTCTCTTTCTTCCTCGCTCTTCCTCCGCTGCCTTTCTCGTCGTTTCCCCCTCTCTTCTCTTTTCATCCCCACTTCGTACTCGATCTCCTCCTCCTCTCCCTCGCCCCCTTCACCGCCACCTCGCTCGCTGCCTCTTTCATTCTCCCCACCATTCGTGTGCTGCATCGCGCACACGAGACATGGTGTGCTGCTTGTGATCCTGCTGTCATCTTTGCAAACGCCCGTCTCTCTCAGGCAGCTCGAATTTAAACGAAATTCATACCGATCGCGAACGAACGTCCACCAACGGATATTATTTTCGTTCGCGAAACAGCGAGGGAACGGCGTCCGTCGCGATAACGGTATTTAGGTGCACGCAGGGGAAACCGAAAGAGAAAAAAGCCAGAGGAGGGGGCAGAGCGCCACCCGTTCAGAAATGTGCACTGACATCGCGGTTTAAAGGCACCCGACGGAAAGGCGTTCTCATACGGCTTTTTCTACTGTGTGCGCGCACCAACTTCATCTCTCGCCTTGTGCCATCTCACTACGCGGACCCTGACGATCCGTCGACGTTTCCAGTGATGAAAAAAAATAAATTATCCAGCTCAATTTTTACGCCAGTGTAGTAAATCTGTGGTGTGTTTACCATACGTGTTGAACATGTAATCGCTCGCTTGGTTGCTCGGACTTTATATGTACATGTTGAATGCAAGCGTAACCAATGAGTACAAAAATATTCCTAGTTTATTAAGTATAGTTATTATCGATCACCAGGAATGGATTTGATTATTTTAATTTGAGCTTGTGCTACTAGCGATCGCACGAACCTATCTTAAGGATTATATTACGTTTATCACGATATCTGCTTGCAACAGTATCCTTCAGCTTCATGTAAATAAGCACAGTTGCTAGAATGTAATCTTGCATTCTTGAAAGTGTGCCTCTCATATTGAAACTACAAATTATTTTCATTTTACTAATGCGTACTTTTATCAAAAGTAGAAAAAAATCAAATTTGAAAAAAATCTCTTTATAAATACATTTTTAAAAGAATTCATATTTTTAACGTTTACTTATTTTCCAATTATTTCTTTTTCAAATGAAAATGCAGTTTAAATGTTTTTTATGATTGCAGAGTGCAATAAAGCTAGCTGGCAAAAATAATGTAAAGAAGTTGCATACGTTACTGTCAATAGTGGAAGAAAAACCAAAGGTGGACATAGGACAAAATAATAGACACAACGAGCATCACATCAAAAATCATTTCAAGCATAATCATTATACACACAATTCCATACTGACACCTTCTACAATTAACCAGGTAAGTTTCCTTAATTCAGATCATGATTGATATTTTGACGTAAAATAAAGAACTGATGTATACTTGGGTTGTTTCGTAGGGCCTAGATGCAGGTACAAGTGACGATAGTGGTAGAGCATCAGAACAATTGCATGGCCCTGGTATACCTAGGGATTGCCAGGACGCAGACAGTTCCAGGGACCACCTCAGCGATGTAAGTAACATTATGAATTGATATTATAGTTACTCTGTTGAATAAATTCTCATACTTGTGCAATTTTCATTGGTTTTATAGGCTAGCAGTCATTGCAGTTCGGGTAAAGGTTATATCGTAAGTACCAGTGTTATTAATTTAAAATATCATATCTACAATTAAAATTATTATAATAACAATCTTCTATCTTCTTTTCTCTTTACAGTGTGATAGTGAAGGAGAAGACGATAAGGTAAGTAATTGTATGAAGATACACATAGTAACAAATAAGCCATCATTTGTTAAAAATTGCTTTTTGTTTTAGGGCTCGGATGCTGAATCGATACTCTTTGAATCTTCTACCCCACCACCCCTTGCACGTAAATGTATGTAATGTTTAAAACAATAATGCATATTTTTTTTTTTTATAAATGCTTGCTTAAAATCAACTCTTGTGTTACAGACGAATTGCCATCATCTTCACCGCACGTTTTGCCTCCAGCAAACGGAGCAGGAGGTTCACCTCCAGACACGGGTGGACAAATTTCCAATCCAGCAACGGATGCTCCGGCACCTATACCACCTCCTGTGCCTGCATCAGCACCAGTTCCAACAGCGCCAAGTCCTCCCAGTCCTACCCTACCACCTCACATATCTCAACCACCTGTAAGTGAATGTTTGTGACTTGGCATTTCATTACTATGAATGATATACATCTGATTAAATGTATTTTCAGATGACTAGTCCATTGGCAGCAAACCCACGTGCAATAGCTCCGCAGCAGCGGCCAGCTTCCCCTGCTTTGCCACCTCCTTCCTTATCCCAACAGCCTCATACTACAATACCAGCATTACATCCACCTAATGTACCCCTTGTTTCATCGAGTCATACAACTAGTCCTGCAGTAGCCAGTTTAGGTGTTACACCAGCGGCACCGTCAAACGGAGCTACAACTACTAGCTATCCGCCATCGATACCCATGGCTGCTTATCCTCAAACCCAACCGTCTTATCCACCTCTTTATACACCATATACTGCTCTAAATCACAGCCCATACCTTCCGCCTGCAGTTCCATCTCCCTCTCATTCTGCTTCATCGAGGGCAGAAGTGGTAAGTCGTAATTGACAATTTGTTTGAATCAGATAAAACGTTATACATGACGAAAATTTGGATAATTGTTAAATAATAAAGCACTAATCCTGATTAATTTCATTTTTAGAGAGGAAGTAGAGCTTCTCCGTGTACTAACATAAGTAAACAACAGCCTGTAGGAAATAATACCACAAATCATAATACTCCTTTGAGCGCTGCCACCACAACATGTGTGTCCACAATAACTAATACAGTTACTACAGCAAATACCATTGCTCACAGAGACATGGTAGCCTGTAGTTTGACTGGAAGAAATAATTCTCCTCGTGGACATAGTCCAAATCGAGAAAGAGATAGTTATAGGTATAATCTTGTAATTATAAATATTCTCATCATTTATTATAACAAGTCTTATAATAATGTTACTTATTATAGCAGTAACGTCAGTAGCCTAAGTCGAGGTAGCATAACGCCTGTAAGTGTGCCAAACACATCTTCTCCAGCCAATTCTAGTCTACCTGCTTACACCAAACCACAAGGATGGATTGGGTATGAATGAAATCAGTATATGCTAAATAGTTTCTTTATCTTTTACTGATATTTTTACATAATTTATATATTTTCGTATGTAACTTACAGTAGCAGCACAACATCACAATTATCTCCGGCAACAGCAACATCAGTTCCAAGGCCGACTCCTCCACCAGTACCACTTGGCATGCATACGTTTCCTCCGCCAATGTTTGCGGCACCCTTGCCACCTCCCGTATCCAGTTCCAGTCCACATACGTCACTGCCTTCACTACCACCGCCAACGACCAATCCTAATCCATTCTCCGCCGAGTCACTTTTTCAAACAAGTAAGTTTATAAACTATATTTCAATTTTGTATTCAATTCGAGTAACAAAGAGAGAGAAAGAAAAAAAAAAAGAAGGTAGAATAAAAGTTCAAAACGAATGAGACACTAACCGAAACAAGGGGTGACTCATGTCGCAGGTCAGGCAGACCTGTTAAGGCGAGAGCTTGACAATAGATTCTTGGCATCCCAAGATAGAAACGTTGGAGTTGGAGTTGGCAATTTGGGTCCGCCCCCATATCTTAGGACGGAGATGCACCATCATCAGCATCAGCATACTCACGTACATCAACACACTACACCTCTCCTTCCACCGACGGCCGCGACAACGTTGTTTCCGCCTCCTATAGTACGTAATGTAGTTCCTCGTATTTGTTGTAATACGATATTTATCATTTATACTGTGATATTTATGATGATTGTATTTCCTAGTTCAAGGATATTCCGAAATTAGGAGGCGTTGAATCTCCATTTTTTCGTGGAAATCTGAACCTTTCTAGTTATTCTGGTTTTAATACTGGTCTCTTGCATCCTGGAATTGGTCCACCTTCAACTCCTTTTGTACCTCCAAATCATTTGACATCATTTGCACCAAAGGTAGTCTTTTTAATGAGAACAAGTCATAAAAGTTTATAAATTGTTTCAATATACTCATTATAACTTGTATGTTTGTATGCAGAAAAGTGGTAAATGGAATGCAATGCATGTTCGGATTGCTTGGGAAATTTATCACCATCAACAGAAGCAACAAGCAGAGGCAAAGGCTGGAAGTGTCGTTAATACTAAAACAGAACTCTTAAGACCACCAAGTCATCTTTATCCAGGAGGACCAGGAAGTGGTCTCGGAATAGGAGGAGCACCTCCAATGGCACCACCATTTCCTACTAATATACCACCGGCACACCCAGCCCCACCTCCACCTCATCCTGTTGGTTTTCTATCAACGCCAGCATCGCATTTAGGTAAAATTTATCATCGATTAATATGTGAAATATTATTTCCCACAAACTGAAGTTGATTTGTATGTATATGAAAATTATTTTAGGAACAGGAATGTCACCATTTGGAAGGTATCCGTCAACATTTGGCGCACCGAATCCAAATTTCCCTGGTCTTTCTAGCTTTCCTCCTTCGAGGGAAATGCCACCATTGGGTGGCCTAGGCTCTGTACATGATCCATGGAGAGGGTATGTATCTAATTATTTACCCGTGTAAGAACTACGTGTAACTCATCACATCTTTTCTCTCTTTCTATTTAGATTGCAACGAACTTCTACTGGATTCCCACCAACCACGGCGGTATCGTGGAATTTAAAACCGGAACCACCTGCAATTGACAGACGAGCCGAACTGGAAGAACGAGAAGCGCGAGAGCGGGAGCGCGAACGTGAACGTGAGCGAGAGCGTGAGCGAGAACGCGAACGGGAACGCGAACGTATAAGACGCGAAAAAGAAAGGGAACGAGAAGAGCAGCGCGAGAGGGAGAGACGGGAGCGTGAGAAGGAAGAGAAAAGAAAACAACAGGAGGCCGCCGAACGAGAACGAGAAAGGAGAGACAAGGAACGTCGAGAGATGGAAAGACGCGAGATGGAACGTGAAAGATTGCTTCATCAAAATCGGCAGCACGTAGTTGTAGGTCGAGAACGGTCACCTTTAAGAAACGGATCGGCGCCTATAGAAACTGGAGAAGTTCGCGTTAAAGAAGAACCACGAAGTAAAGACGATGAAGTTGTGATGCTGCCAAGGCCACCAGGCCCTGGACCAGGAACAGCATCTGCAACAGGACCAGGACCAAGTCCACTGCCTGATACGAGGTATCATCATCCTCATCCTCATTCATACCTTGCAAGGCATCCGCATAGTATGCCTGCACCGCATTCCATGCCACGAAGTATGCTCCCTGGTTTGAGCGCGCATCCAATTCAACATTTTCCACCTCCTTCCGCGCCTACTGGCCAACCGGGGGGTCCTTGGCCTGGGGATCCCTTTCGGGATTACCGTTACGATCCTTTACAACAATTACGCTATAATCCATTGATGGCTGCTGCTGCATTTCGAGCAGAAGAAGAAGAAAGAGCTAAACTTTACGCCGGGTATCCACCGCCGCCTGTAAATTCTTTACGAAGCAAGGATCCAAGTCCTGGTCCATTGAGTAATTTGCATATGCATCATAGAGCAGGACCTGGACCCGGGGTGCCAACACGACAACTAGAACCCGCTTTGATGCACGCGGATATACATAAGAAGGAGGACACCTCCCAATCTCGATGATATATCCTCCCCACGTCCTCAGCTTCTGCAAGTGAACGCACTAAAGGGTCAGCATTCTGAGCATTTCCGTAAAGTTTTCAGACCCCTAGTGCTGATATTTTGCTAATGGAGAAGAGGCGTTATTTAAAAAAAATTGTATATAGATTATATAATATTTATAGCTATCGAAGAAAGTGCGAAGAAATAAAACACGTATAGGACATTTAAAAGTAACAAATAAATGCATTCATGTGACGCGCAAAGAGATCATTAACAAAAAAGCCTTCGACAAATGAAAAGTTCGTGATCATAGAAATTCCGTCTGATTACACGGAAGTTAAAGGACGAATCATGAATATAAACTAAGGCATTTATTGAAATATTGTGGGTTACAAGAAAGAAGAAAACAAATAATGATGACTTATATGTGATTCTCTGCAAATTTCGGAGATCTGACTGTTCATAGCGATATAAACTTTAATCATTACGATAATTATGCGTACAGTTTAAAAAAAAAAAGGTATCGTGTGTAATATTATAGATATTGTAGAATGCGAGATACGATGCTACGTAAAAAAAGAAATCCAACTTAAGAGCAAACGTAAGCGGATCTCTACCACTATTCAAAAATTATTTAATTATTTATTTATTACGACGTATAAACGAATCTCTACTACTGACGTATGGATACGATCGTAAAGCAAGTTGCCCTAATTTAATCGTCATAATATAAAAGAAAAATTTATGTTTCCATTTTCTTCATAGGGATTGATTTGTACTGTAGAAGTAATAGTAAAGAAAACTATACGAGGGGGCAAAAAAAACAGGTATCTTTGGCTTTTGGCAGCACAAGCTTGCTTTTCTTTTTTCATTTGCATGCAAATTAAAATCGCACTCTGGTGCTTCCTGTGATATAAAACGTAAGATTATTTAAAACTATTGCAGTTATTTTACATCGTAATTATAAGGAGAATAATAGACACAAATTGTAAATCAAATTGTTTTTTGACAAATTATAAGCAAATTATCTACTACAAATACATTTTGGAATAAAACAAAAGAAAGAATTTTATATTCATTATGAAAATCATGGGATCTGTGAGTAAACAAATATAAAAGCAGTTTGTCCGTGCCAAAGTGCTTTAATCAAAAACACAGTTAACGCTATGTAGAAATATTGCAGCTTCTGAGTTTGTGTCTATCAAAATTGAAAAAGAAATATCGTTTTATATCCTTGTTTTATCGTCCTCTCAATCAGTTATATATACGTCGTTATGTTACCAGAGACTAATTCATTCTTTTAAGAAAAAAAAAAGGAAACAAAATAAAATATTCGTGCCATGGACCAGGCTAACTAAATTTGAAAATCCTGGTGCCTCCAAAAACATACTTACTTCTGTCAAGTAATCAGGCTCTTTAAACTGTTTCGTTTATACTGTAAAGTCATCATAACAAAATGTATATTATACAATTAATGACCATATGCAATTTAAAAAATTGTAGATATTTTTCATCGATACATTGCAATGTGATGCAATGATTCTGTTCTTGTAGATATCGCGAAGTATAAAAAAGGATTTTGTGTGAATAGGTTTTTTCTAAAATTGATTCTTTGTAAAAGGGTCTAATAATCATAGTTTCTATCAAATCTGTCGTTTCTAATACTTTTACCAAGCCTGAAACATAACTGACTTCAGAAAAAAAATGTCAGTAGTTTATAAATACACACATACTGTCGCTACACTTTATAATAAGTTTAAATTTTTTTATCTCTTTATGAGATTACGTACTTGCTACTAAATAATGTTTTTTTTTCTTCTGAAGTCTTCTATGTCTTATATTTAATACTATCACGTGACAATGTTTAAGACTATATTTTTTTGTCTGCGATCATCGGCCTTCAGGTACGAATCAATAGCAATATATTTATCACGTGTGAAATTGATATATTTCAAAAGCAGAACTTGCAAATCACGAACGGCATTTCAATTATCGACAATGAGGTTTCATAAACACCGCCGTGGACAAGTGTATTTGTATTTTTGAGTGCATACACTTTTCTGCCAATCGAATGAATCGGTAAAAATTGTTTTGCTCGGTATATTAAGATGACCAACCAGAATGAACCGATATTGGTCAGATTCAGTTCTTATTTTATATGTACAAAAAATGTTGCTATCGAGAGCTGCTAGAACTTGATCTCGTGTAACGACGGTGCCGATGCCGTGGATTATTTGGGGGACTTCGTGATCGAGTTCTTGGTCTACGTCGTGGTGGTCGTGGGCTTCTACGACGATTTATTGGTGGTGAACGTCTCCGATAACGAGGAGGAGTATTTCTACCACCACCACCCCATCGTGGAGGTGCTCTTCTTCCCATTAAAGGTGACATTCTTCGCATTGGTAGCGGTCGTGGTTTTGGTAATAATACTGGGGCAGCAGTAATTTCCTGACCATCTATTTGTCCTGTAGATATCGTTAAAATATTCGTTAAACGAAATTATCGGCATCTATTAACAAGACAATAAGAAAAATTGTGTACTTACCACCATCCATATGTTTCATTGCATTCTCAGCTTCGTCTGCTGTTTCAAACTCTACATAAGCAAAACCTCGTCCTTGATTTGGATGAAGTTTGTCCATTGCAAAATCAACCATTTTTATCTGACCGTACGTAGAAAAAATTTCCATAATGTGTTCTTTAGTAACATTACGGGTTAGATGTCCAATATGTATTTTTGTTGGTCTAGGAATTGGTGATCTTTCTCTGCGTTTTCTACGTGGTGAAGGTGATCTACAACACAAACCAGTAAAATAAATGAAAGAAAAAGAAGTTATAAACTAAAACTATTTGTCCACATATACTAGATTCATATTTTTACCTAGACCGTCCTTTGGGTTTCGGTTTATCAATCACAGAATTGCTACTTTTCTTTTTATCTTTTTCTCTGTCTCTATCTCTATCCCTGTCTCTATCTCTTTCTCTTTCTCTTTCTTTTTCTCTTTCCTTTTCTTTATTATCATGTCTACGCGAGGCATCTACACTTTTGCTTCTGCTTCGTTTTCTTCCTCTATCTCTAGAGCTTCCAGATGAACTTGCTGAACTGGTGGAAGTAGTGCTAGAAGTAGAACTTGATCTGGAACTACTTCCACTACTTGTCGATGATGATCCTGAACTGCTATCTGAAGAACTATGAAGTATAAATAGTAGACATGTTAGATATAATTTTACATTTTTAACCGTTAGTTCTATCATATTTATTTACTCACCTACTTCCACTGCTGGATGTGGAGGCAGCCCGCTTTTTTTTATCTCTTTCTCTGCCCCTTTCCCTCTTATTTTCTTTATCAGTGACTTCAGAGTCGCTTTTACCCGTACTATCTTTACGACTGCGTGCCCTGTGTTCACATGAAAACACCCGGTAATAACAAGACTACGATTAAATGAAAAGACTAGGATCAAAATAATAAAAAAAATAATGTGCATTACTCACATCATAGTATGATACAAATCTCCAGGTTATAGGTGTGGTTTTGGCTCTACAAACGTAAGAAAACTTTGTTGAACGTCGTGCAAACACCAATAATGGCGGACGAGGCCGCTAAAAGATCGTCACCTTTTCACAGAACACGTTCTCGCTGTTAGTTACGTATTAAACACTACTGCATGTAAACAATATATAACACCGACAATTAAGAACTTTATTCCATCAACGAATCATAATGGAATAACATACAAAGTTCAACGAAGTATGAAACAAAATTACCAAAATGACGCGGCGCTCGCGTCGTTATTCCCGCCGAGTTGCAGCCATATCACCTGAAGCCACAAAAACCTATGAAAATCTGACCATAAAGTATCCATTTTGTGTTAAATTAATAGCGAAATAAATGATCACTACCTTTCTCATTTACAAATTTGTTATGATAGTTATATTCTAATCATATCTCAGATAAAATGTAATAAATATAAAATAAAAGTATGAAATAAAAATATAAATATATAATAAAAATAATAAATATAAAAATTTAACACCATTTAATATAGAATTGTTCCAAAACTATGAAATAAATATAGGTTTTTTTTTATCATAAACAGAAATAACTTAAGATTTGCTTGCGTATTTCTACATTTATATTAAAAATTTACTTCGCTGTCGATAAATCGTGCAGTGCTTTAACACT